CAGTGAGCACTCAGGGCTGATTTCCTTATTAAGACGTTGATGTCTTTTAGTTTAGATTTGCATATATAGTGCAAATATAAACTAAAAGACATCAAAGTCTTAATAGACAGGTAAAAATAACCAGAAGGACTGAAATCGTGCGCAAGAGGCTGGGAAGCTAGAAAGGGCTCTCCTGGCACCAAAGGGAGAAGAAGGCATCAGGGAGAGCATTTCATAATTGGGGTGCCACTGCTGAGAAGGCCCTCTCAGACAGCAGGCAACTGCAGAAGGCCCTTTAGTATCTTAAAGCACATATGTTTTCACATATGAAACAGGCAGTTCTTCAAGAACTCTAGTCTAACCTGGATGTTGCCAGAGCATGGGTAACTGAGGCAAAGCTATCTCTGTCCAGGTAGAATCACATTGTTCTGGAGTGCACATACAAAATGTCCCCCCCCCCCAAAAAAAAATGTTCCTTGCTTGCATGTAGTAAATTAGCATGCCAAGGAAGATGCCTCTCTCTTTGCCCTCTGATATACTAGTTTACTCTGCATAAAGAGGTTTGTTTATTTTCTTACTCACTCAAGGCCCATGATCTTCCGCTTACAACTTCAGCTGATTCAATCCAGAGTAATTCCACCTCAGTCTGCACGTTCTGCATCACGTGTAGGCCAGCCATTAACCTTTGCTCTTTCAGTTCCCTCCCCTCTCTTTATAGTCACTATATACAGGCTTTTTCTGTTTCCCCTTATTTTCCACAGTTTTGCTTACCATCACAAAATGAGGAAGCTCATCCGTGGGCAACTCGTTTGCATGAAGGGATCCTTCTGCGCTTTGCTCTTGAGATAGTAAAGTCACAGGGATTCATTTCTGCCACTTCACACCATGCTGTCCGTTCCTGAATATGCAGCTGCCACTGGGGGAAATGTTGTTCCTTCAACCTATACAATACGGTGGTTATCGATAAGGCCTCTGTGGTTATGGGAAGGAAATTGAGCGTCCCTCTGGAATTGCTGTCGTAGAATTGCCCCTTGTTTAGAAAAGGCTTTTCCCATACTGCACCAAGACTGCTCATTCTGTTACTGCTACCAGATGGGAGGCCAATGAGAAAATGAAGCAACAGCATGGAGGGCTGCACATTTTAGAAGCGTTCCTAAGGCAGTGCTGCAGCCAAGCTGGCCTTGGACTTAATCAGTCCTAAAATGGTTGATTGCCTGTGAATCCTGTGTGTGCTGCTTAGAGTACTTATGGGGAAGAAAACTCTTTATAAGTGAATAAGGGACATATGTAACAAATATTTACAGAGTTGTTGTTTAGTCGTTTAGTCGTGTCCGACTCTTCGTGACCCCATGGACCAGAGCACACCAGGCACTCCTGTCTTCTACTGCCTCCCGTAGTTTGGTCAAAGTCAAGTATAGAGGTCTTATTCAGGATGCCAGCCAGTCAGATATGCCCTTTTTACATTACTCCATTCCGTCCCCCTTTTTCTCATGCTACCTCCTCCAGCAAACACTAAACATTCCACACAAAGTGATTATGCTCAGTCCTCAATGGGCTATTTGTGTGTGGATTGGGAGGTGCCCTTTTAAAAAAAACCTAGTGGTGGTTTGTTTGTTTTTTGCACTTTTGCAAACCTTTGGATTTTCCCAAGCCTGCTGGAAATGGCATTCATGGTGCCATTTCCACTCCATAAGAACACACACTCAGAGAATGTGTTCACTGCTAGTTTGGTCTCATAAGTTTTATTGGGGGAATTCCCATGATTTCAACAAACCTTAAACACACATGGTTCTGTGAATGTTTAACTTGCATATTTTCATGAGTGTGCAGATGTTTGATGTGTTGTGCCCAAGTCTGTTTTGCTCGGGAAACTAGCGTGCAATTTATTTAGTGCAAACAATGAAAGAATCGCCATCAAGTTGTAGCATGCACTCTGGTCATCGTTTTATCTCATGCTATATGCCAGAGGATTTGAGAAAGATATAACAAATTTTGGATGAGAAACCAGAAAAATGTTCTTCTGGGCACTTATAGCCCTCCTTCATTTCAAAGAGACTTGTGCAGAAAACGTACTGCAGGATTGCACCCTTATTTCTTGCCTCTCCCTACCGTGACCACATTGTGGTTGAAAAGTGAGTTATACATACCATAAATAAACAAAGTAATAAAATATTACTGGGCATTGAAACACTTAGCAATGTGGATGTGTGGTGTTAGTTAGTTTAGAGCTGCTCCTTAAACAGAACCTCCACGTCTAGGGGGAATCTACTCCTGACTAACAGATGTAGGGGACAAGAGAGTGTGACTGTTCCCTTCCACACCACCCTTGTAAGCTTTCACAGGAGCATTTGGCTGGACACTGTTGGATAACAAATGCTGGTCTCAACAGAGCTTTCATAAAATCACAGCATTTTAGCTGGAAGGGACCTTAGAGCTCATCTAGTTCAACCCCTTGCTCAACTGATCTACAGAACTCTTTGTTATTATTTGTGCCTAAAAGTACACCGCTTTATTATGTGGAAGACATGGTCTTTCAAAGGTTATAAAGGAATTCATAAAAGAACATGAATGCCATGTGTATATTGTACTGAAGCAAAATTAGGAGTCCCTGAGCTAAAGCTGTCTTGCTGAAGAATGCCACCTGGCTCCAAAAAAAGGGGAGCAATTGTAATGTGTTATATAATGCTTTTGGAGCACTGAAAGCAATCTGTGTACATCAGTCCCAGAGCAAGCATGGCTAGTGGCCAGGGATGATAGGAGCTCTAATTCAGCAACATCTGGAGAGCCAAGAGTTCTGACATACATAATAATTGCATTGAAATTATTAAACAGGCCCTGATGCCTGTTTCTTATGCATACAAGAGTTGACAAAATAACAGAATGTTGGGAAGTGGCTAATAATACTAATAATTGAAGTCTCGTTGTTTTGGTGGGTCCACTCTAAGTATGACTAAGTATGGGGAGTGGGTGGCGCTGTGGTCTAAACCACTGATCCTCTTGCGCTTGCTGATCAGAAGGTCAGTGGTTTGAATCCGCGTGATGGGGTGAGCTCCCGTTGCTCTGTCCCAGCTTCTGCCAACCTAGCAGTTCGAAAGCATACCAGTGCAAGTAGATAAATAGGTACCGCTGTGGTGGGAAGTTAAACAGCGTTACCATGCGCTCTGGTTTCGGTCACGGTGTTCGTTGTGCCAGAAGTGGTTTAGTCATGCTGACCACATGACCTGGAAAGCTGTCTGTGGACAAACGCCGGCTCCCTCAGCCTGAAGCGAGACGAGCGCCGCAACCCCATAGTCGCCTTTGACTGGACTTAACCTTCCAGGGGTTCTTTACCTTTACCTTTTAAATCCTAACCCCATTTATCACAGTGTAAGCCCCACTGAACTTGGGAGGACTTACTACTTAGAATTGCACTGTAAGTCTGGATCCAATCCACATATAGAGAGTTGTTGTCATGAATGTATTCATTTATACAATTCTGTTTGTTTATGTGGTGCCAGGTGAAAGATTTGTCCAGGCCTTTTAGGACTTTAAAATGGTTTTGCTTTGAATGCTGGGTTTTTACAGCCTGCTGTGATCTGTTTGTACATGGTTTTATTGCATTTTTCTGTTTTGTGTGGAAGATGCTCTGGAAGCCGTAGCTGAAGAGCAGCTAACGAATGTTTGAAATAAACAAAACAGTGAAGCCTGTGTACATAGCACCTTACAGCGTAAGTAAAAAATGTGCTTATCTTGATTTCTTGTATTAAGTGGCTAGGAGCTTCTAATTCAATTTTGGCTATAAAACAAAAGCAGATGGGGAATAGGTACTTCTGTAGCAAATTTAATCATTTTACATCCACCTTCCTTCCATCATAGAACTCAAGGCAGTGTACCCACAGCTGCCAGGCAATCCACAGTCATCTCAGAAAATAGGATGTAGGAGCACAGAAAGCTGTCTTGTGCCAAGTCAGGCATTGGTCCATCTAGCTGAAACTGGGACCTTCTGCCTGCAAGATAGATGCTCTGTCACTGAGGCCAAATCGGTGCCACCAAGAGATGCTTTCTGACACCAAGTTGTCAACCTACCAGGGTGAAGGGGAAGCGGAGGAGCAACAAAATTTTCCCCACCTCTTGGTAGAATATTATGTGCGACTAACTTAGCAAGTGGTTAGAAGTACAATCCAGTATGTTGCCTCCAGAAGCAGCCCTAGACACTCAGGTGTCTTGAGGCAACATCCATATTGGCATTCTATGATGCTAAATGTATCTTACTATCCAAAATAATCAGCATTTTGTTGCCCTTTAATGGTATCCCATGGACGCAGGTGGCGCTGTGGGTTAAACCACAGAGCCCAGGACTTGCCGATCAGAAGGCTGGCGGTTTGAATCCCCGCGACGGGGTGAGCTCCCATTGCTCGGTCCCTGCTCCTGCCAACCTAGCAGTTCGAAAGCAGGTCAGAGTGCAAGTAGATAAATAGGTACCGTTCCAGCGGAAAGGTAAACGGCGTTTCCGTGCACTGCTCTGGTTCGCCAGAAGCGGCTTTGTCATGCTGGCCACATGACCTGGAAGCTCCCTCGGCCAGTAAAGAAAGATGAGCGCCACAACCCCAGAGTCGTCCATGACTGGACCTAATGGTCAGGGGTCCCTTTACCTAATGGTATCCCAAAATCTGCTGCATGGGGTAGTCTGTTTCATCCTGCTGAACAGTTACCACTGTGGTGGGTGGTCATCTGTAATCACCTCACATTCCTTGTCACAACATGGTTCTGGTGTCATTATTGCTAGGACCACATTTCCCCCCCCCTTTTATTGCCACAGTGTAATAAACACTAGGACTGTACCATTAAGACAGCAAAGCTATTACCCATCTGGCCTATTACCAGAGGTGGTGGTGAGAGAGAGACTTACAGATTTCTCTATCCCAGAATAACGAAAGCAGAATAATGTAGCATTTGTGTCAAGGAAACAACAGGTTGAGTAGGTAAATTTAGTAGGAAAAAATGTTCGGCCAGATGGACAGACACGCTTTTAGCAAAACTTTTATTTACTTCAGTGTGTTTTCAATGTTGCTCCTAGCAACTGGAAAGAAACTAAAAGCTTTCTTCATTGACATGAAGGCAGCAATCCTATGCTTCTGTGTCAAGGAGCAAGTCCGGCTGAAGACAGTGAGGCTTACTTCAAAATAAACACACAGAGAGTCAAACTACCTAGGAGAGAAGTGATCTGCTTCCAGCTAAATCTGGCTTGCTCATTTGGTGAAGGAAAAGTTTCTTTGAAAATGTGTTACTAAATAAAAATCTTGGATGGAGTACGTTTAATGATTAAAAAAAGAGAGACCCAACTAGGGTAACAATAAACACAGGAAATATACATGAATAAAGTGTTCTGAAAAGTCAAGCCACAAGTCTTTAACGACTATAAATACCACCTAAGCTGGGTCACTATTATTAGCAAAGGTTGAACAAAAGAAGAGGTCCAGAAATAGATACGGTGGCCTGAGTAAGGGATGGTATGAAATGTCTTGTTTAACCTTACGCAGATATTGTTGCCATAGCATAGGAAATGGTTTTTGCTGGCTCATGTATTCTATGGGGATGAAGGATGTTTCCATGTTGTCTGTTTGCCAAGGAAATTCCTTAACAGGCCTGTTTGCTAAACAGAGGAAATATCAGCCTACTGGGGTGTCGCTGGACGCGATGGGAACATCTATCTTCATTCTGTTGCTGGCTGTGATCAGTTTAGGCTGCAGGCTTGTACAGGCAACTCTATATTTATAGTGACAGAGAGCATTTATGTTGCACATCTGAGTGTTCAAAGTCAGTGGTGTAAAATAGAGAAAAATCTTTGCCAAGTATTGTCGCTTTTGGTCCTGTGCGCCTCGTCGTTGTCCCATTCAGCACCATTTGCTGTCATCCTTCTTCTGTAAAGAAACAGATGTGATGTAAACATCCCCTCTATTTCTGATGTCCAGGCTATGAGTGCCATAGAATCACAGAACCACAGAGTTGGAAGGGACCACAAGGGTCATTTAGTCCAGCCACCTGCAAGTAGTTTATATAGCCAAAAAGGCTATATAAACTACACTCAAGAGGAAGGTATTGGTGGCCAAAGGGGTCTCCCTCCTGCAAGGTTTGCGGAAATACAAAAGATCTGGGGCGGGGTGGGGAGGGGCAGGGAGCCTAAGGGAGAAAGGACTCCTAAAAACAGCTCAGTGAGATTTGAGCATGCTCATTGCTAGGGAATGCTGATTGACTGTTGGCGCAAAAGAAGGAAAACTGCGGAGGAGGGGTGGAATGGAGATGCTACAATCATGAACAGCAGCATTCCACACCTAATCATTTAGTTGCAGGCCCCACTTGTAATAAGGCGCTGTGGGTTAAACCACAGAGCCTAGGACTTGCCGATCAGAAGGTCGCGACGGGGTGAGCTCCCGTTGCTCGGTCTCTGCTCCTGCCAACCTAGCAGTTCGAAAGCACGTCAAAGTGCAAGTAGATAAATAGGTACCGTTCCGGCGGGAAGGTAAACGGCGTTTCCGTGCGCTGCTCTGGTTCGCCAGAAGCAGCTTAGTCATGCTGGCCACATGACCCGGAAGCTGTACACTGGCTCCCTCGGCCAAGAAAGCGAGATGAGCGCCACAACCCCAGAGTCGGTCACGACTGGACCTAATGGTCAGGGGTCCCTTAACCTTTACCTTTATATATATGCCAAATTCCTTTCCCTCCTTCCTGACCAATTGAAGCCCCTCCCTCCCCACACACTTAGAAGGAACAGATTTTCTAACAGTTTTTGTCACTGACAACCTAATACAAAATGATGTTTATGCTGCATAAGTTTGTATCCAAGCTAGTTATATATTTGAAGGACACGCTGGAGAAGGATGTGTTTTTTCTTTTCTATTAGCACACATTTACCCATCGGAATATTGTTTCAAACATAAACCTAGCTTCCAATCTATTAAAAAAAAGAAGATACGGACCATCCCAGCAGGGTGATAAAGTCTTCCTGTGTTCCAATAATAAAGCCTGTCCATTCCGTACCAGCAGTTTCCAGTTCCTTTGTGGCTGGACAGCTTGGGAAGACGAACTCACTCCTAAGTAGCCAACCTGCAGTATCAGTGAGGGAGTCGGAAACAGATGTTCACCAGGCTATACAATTTGTTGTCACTGTCAATATTACGTGGCACTTTTCCCAACGGAAATTGTTTGTGGATGGAAAAGAATGCAGCGGTGGGGGCACGAGGGGGGGATCATGTCAAAAAAGGGCTTGTATTTCTTCTGCTAGGTGTAAAGCTCTTTTTAAGGGAAAATGATTACATGGGAACAGACCTTAATATGCTGTGCACAGGTAGCTTAGATTTCATTAAAATTTAGCATCTGTTTTGCCAAATTTGCCAGTATGTTTGCGTATGACTTTCTCTGTTCTCAGAAGTATTGTGAAATATCAGAATATAGCCAGAGTTAAATGTCTTTCAATCTGAATTATTCTAGTTGAAGAGATTTTGAGCATGAGGATAAATCAACTGAATTTTTTTAAAAAAATGATTTAACTGTAGCAATGTCATGTCCAGTATTTTCATAACATAAAGTTTGTGTTGTTTTTTAAAAAACAAATTCCATTTAAATGTTTGGCCAGAACAAAATAGCCAATCTTATTCTAGGTATCATGAGTGGTATTAAAGATATGCATACACTTTGCTAAAATGCTTTTAGAGGTTTTTTAAAAAAATCTTTTTCCAGAAACTCCCCAATATATTTAGCGGTGGAACAGGTGCAGAAAACCACCTAGAAAGCTGACTATACCATTTTAATATTAATAAGTATTTTTAAAAAAGATTCATAATATGATCCATTATAAAAGTTCTAGATATAATTCTCATGCAATAATATAATTCTTCTGTAATTTCCCATTATCAAATCATTATGCTTATACATGTTAGTTCAACAAAAGTGTTTGGACATTAAGCATTGTGTTTAATTTGACTAAAAAAAATCACCTTAAATCAAATACTTTTAGTCTAATTCAGTTGCCAATCAGATTTTAAAACAAGATTGTATGTAACTGACCCTGTTTGTTCCCATGAATATAATATCTATTTGGCTCTTCAACATAATTATGTCTCAGAAATAAACATGAAGCTTAAAGAAGATTTAGGGATAATTACAAAGTTGTAGTCTGAGTAAAATCATTGTTAAGCCACAAAACCAATAGTTGGATCTATTCCTTTTTTTAAAAAAGGCATTTGTATTTCAGTAATATTTATTTTATGGTTTTAAGGTATCATCAGCCACATAATTAACATTACTTTTTAGCAACGTTTAGTATAGGATGCTTGAAATGCTTTTGTCAAAACACAGAAGAAATTGATCTTCAATATATAAGATTTTTTTTAACTGCCACATCATTCCTTTTCAAGGGTTCATTGGGTTTCCAGAAACCTTTATAACATTAGACATCATCTCAAGGCATATTGTTAACAGTAAACGGTAGTTTCATTAAACGATTTCCTTTAGACAGCCAGTTTCCCCGCTTCACTTTGTTTTCATTTGTGGTAAGAACAGAATAAATAAATACAGTACCTAGACATTGGCAAAATAACTCTGAAAGAGCATGTGAAGGTAATCTGGTAAAGATATAACGCCGGCTTCCCTCAAACCACCATTTGCAAATCAGGTTCCAGCTTTGGGAAATATATACAATCTCTTCCTCCTTTCTCCACAGCAAATTTCTGCATCTTACCTGTTCAGCATTAACCAGTATGCAGTTGTACATAGTTAAAGCTAAGAAAGTTTTCTCATGACTATAGTCTGAAAATGTACTTCAAACCATAGCTTCATATTCTGATTTACAAATGAACCATGGTTAATGTTGGTGTGCAAGTAACTCTAAACCTTGGTTATTGTTGACAAGGGAAGAATTTTCTTTAGGGATGGCATAGAAGAATTCATCTCTAAGGCTGACTCCTAATTTGCAAACCATGGGGAGCTGATGTTACATCTGTACTAAATCTGTACAGTTTTTTCAAACTACAGATGCAATCCAGTGAGACTTAATTTGGTTTGAACTGTCTTGCAACCCGTTCCTAAATATTTGTCATTGAGTATCTGCCAGAGACACTCATGTCATATCAATACAACACTGGTGTGTTATTGTCACGATTCCAGAGTCAGCACTGAGTGGCTCAGTATGATTGTTGTCACACTCAGAACTGCTCTGGGGCAACATTAAGCACTATATTTTAGAATGGGCTAATCGGATTTCAAGTTGGAACCAAACTCAGGTTAGCTGTCACTTTATACATTTGATTGTGGGCAAGGATTTATTGGACCAGCCAAATAGACAGAAGGAAAACCTCACCTCCCGTCTCACTTCCTGGTTCTTACCTGCCTACGGGTTGGTGGGAGTAGGGAGCAAATCTCTTGCTTTGCTCTGATTTTACAATGCTATTTTCACAGCAGTGAAATTGCAGTGTGATTCCAATCATGTCTGCTCAGGATTAAGTCCCAGTGAATTCAGCAGGACTTGCTTTCAGTGGAATTGGCAACCACTTTCCATACACTCATTTTTCGCTCCAAAGAATCACAGAATGGTAGAGTTGGAAGGGACCACAAGAGTCATCTAGTCCAGCTCACTGCAATGCAGGGATCGTTTGCCTAACATGGGGCTCAAGACCTCAATCCTGAGATTAAGAGTCTCATGCTCTACTAGCTTGAGCTATCCTGAGTTCAGAGAAGTGGAGATGATTACTTCACAGCCAATCAGAGTGGGAGAAGGGAGGAGCCCTGCAGATTTTTGGAACAGCTCTGCAAAGGCAGCAGCTCACACATTTTGATTTGTAACTCGATTTCTGGAAGGGTTAGTGACTTGCATTCATTCATTCATTTAAAAAAAGCAAGCTCAGACTCTGCAATCACATCATTCATTTAAAAGAAGCTGGGGGAGGAGTGTTACTGTTTTCCCAATGACATTTTCCTGATGTAAACATTTCCCTTCTCCATCTCACCCCACCCCAGAAGAGGGGCAGCCCTACCTTTATGCTGAATGAAGCAGTTGCTTCAGGGGGCAAGTTGGGTGTCATGTAGACTGAGTGCAGCAAATTGTTAGTTATTTCATTTATTGGGTCTGGATTTTTTTGTCAGGAAGGGGAAGAAGCATTTGTGGGATTAGGTGCCAAAATAACTTTGCACGCCTTGGACATGATGTGCCTCAGTGGGAGAGGGGTACCCTTTGTTGCACTGCCTCAGGTGGAACAATGTATTGGTCTTGGCCCTGCCTGGAAGCTGCTATTTGCAGTATTCAGGAAAATATATGGGTACACATACAGCTTCCCTAGCAGGGATAATTTACTCTGAAATAACAACACAGGAAGAAAGAGTCAAATTCTGTTCCCAATGCTATGGTTCTAAGGGAATCAGGGGAGGGGTGGGTGGGTATATACACATCTATTGATGGGGGGCAAGAATATGAGATCTAATCATGGATGTCTAACATCTCATCTAGTTTGACCCTCACTGTAATGTTCACAGGTGTCTCAGAATAAAGTTGAACAGTTACATTCAGGAATCGTGCTTCATCATCATTCACTGGATAGTAAAGGCAGATAATAATTTATGAAAGGGGGAAAATTAAATATCCATACCAGACAAGCCATTAAGTCACTGCAGGAGTGAGGGCGGATTGTAATAGGCCTTGTTCTTTCATCTGCACCCAGCAGAGAAATCCTGAATGCACAAAACAGCTGGGACATGTCATGTGTACAACTTGAGCTGATGAATTGAAATAATAAATTCATTCTAATTAAGGTTTGGTTCTTTCCAATTGACTATTTCCTGTAGTTGAAAGCCACAGCTTTATACGCTATGCGTTTTCAAATCAGGATTGTAGTGTATATTACAATTTTTTATTGTACAAATATAATTGTCAGCAAATTTGTTTCTCAGTGTCTACTGCCCTGTGTTCTTTGGGAAAATGATAGCTTTAAATTATTGTAAATTAGAGCTTCTTCCTATCCATTGCAGTTATTTTCCGTTTTCAGAGTGGGGATGACATAACAAAATAACACTCTGAATTGCATTTCTACACCAATTTACTCTTTATTATATTAGTTCTCCATATTAAAGCAGTTATTGCATCATTTTTGGAAAAAATTCTGCCCTACTCTGCAAACATGTAGTTTTGAAATGGAAGGTAGAAGCAAACAAAGTTTGTTTAGGCAAACATTTTATATTTCCTTAAAAATAGGGTATGGGCAAACTCTGTCCATCATAAGTGTTTTAATTATTTAGGATGAGTGCCTGAAAAATGAACAGTCCATGAAAATTATGAATATAACACTGAACACAGTTCTAGTTCACAGCTTATTTGCATAAATACTGTATTTTTCCATCTATAAGACAACCCCTATTTTGGGGGACTCAGATTTAAGAAAATGGGGGGAGATAGATCTGTGTATAAGACGCCCCCCCCAATTTTTGACATTATTTTTTAGGGGGGGAACCTAGTCTTATACACCGAAAAATACGGTAGTCTTTTTTAAACACACACAAACACGCATCAAAATTTGCCCATTGCTGATCTTTGAGATTTCATGCAATCCAACTCTACTTATTTACCAGGGACATTCCTTGTTATTTTGATACCTGACTGGAAAATCACTCTTCCAGTTTGGTTGGCATTCTGCTTTTGGGGCAGATGTTAGTCATGTATTTCCAAAATGTTGCTAGTGTGCACTGAAATGCTGTAGAATACCTTGTCATATTTCAGCCCCTCCTCCAGGGACCCAGAAGTAAAATTTCTAAATGATGGGAAGAGGTACATTTTGACACATGTTGACTCTAGTGCACATTCATGGAATCGGTGATGAGAAGCTCATGCTCCTCCAGATGTTGTTGCACTCGTTCCTATCAGCCCCAGGTAGCACAGTCAACGCTCTGGTATTATGGGAGCTGTATTCCAACAACATCTGGAGGACCACATGTTCCCCACCCCTGATGTAAATGCATGCCCACATGGACCTATGGTCCCATCCCCATATATTAAATGTTGCTGTTGTTGGTGATGAACTATTGCCCTTATTAGTTGCTTTTAACAAGAAGTAACCCAAAGT